ATTTTTTTGCGTGTGCGACGCAAAAAAATGAACACAAATGAAGACGTTGTAATGAATAGTATCAACCAAACATTGATGACCCACTCAGAAGCTTTCGGAATCATCTTTAAACATATTGAGAATTTCTCAAAAACATTGGACGGATTATCTAACCACATCAATAATCGGAAACAAAGGTAAAGTCAGTTAAATTAGTCTCCGACAGCCCAACCAATTAAACCTAAACAACCTCTTCCTCCAAAAACAACACTCATAGAACAAACTCCATCCCCTGCACATCCTTATCGAACTGATGGACCATCAAACCAAATATCTAAAATCAAAAATATTACACATCCAACAAACAAATCGAAAATCAACAATCAAAATAAGACAACAAACTTCATCACCAACACAAACCTCACCAAACCAATTGAAACAAGCACAAACCTCATCAAACCAATTGAAACAACTTCAAAGCCCCAAAGTCAACCCCAGCTTCAATCTAAGAGCCCACCTATCAACACCAGCTTCAACCTGAATGAATCGCAATCGTCATACTTGCAAATAGCCAAGACAGCCAAGAACATTACATTTGATCCAACAAAAAACTCCGCAAATCAAATCCTACAATACAACAACAACCATGTACCCTCCTGCTAAAAGAGCTAAAACAATTAACTATTCTCACTGTGTATCTATTTACCTCAGTAAGCATATCGACTCAGACATCACTGAATTTATTACAGATGCAGTCAAAGAAAAACTTACATCATGGTACATACCTAACAACAAGACGCACGTACTCCAACTTGTCTGTAACAATCATGAAGATTATGTATCAACCTTGGGAATTTTAAACTCACAATCAACAAGAGACTCCAGTCCATTCAAATACGTTGTGACTCCTATGAATTTCTCACCAGCTGAACACACTCCTCAATATCATACTTCATCATATGACGAGATGATGAAGTATACTACACATTATCAAAAATTTTTGGAAAAGAACTAATGGAGTTAAAGAAACTAATACCAGTTATGACAGAGTCCAAAGCTTTATAAAATCAGAATAGCAGTTGAATCTCTTGAAGATAAAGAATATTTTATGGCAAGGAAATATTCTGAATACCGATCCATTGACCAGATCATAACAGAATCTAAGCTTAACTGCTCTTGCAATTTTTCATCCCTCTACACAGAGAAAGATATCAAAACTGCGATACAAAAGATGGTGGAAAAAAGCAACTGTGTCTTCCAATCAAACCACTTAGAGATTATTAACAAACCTAGCCCATATCGCCCTGGAGAGCATTATTATATAGCCAATTACAAAGCAACTAATGTTGCAGAATTGGAAAAATTACAAAATTCCCAACAAGTATCACTCCACCAAATGGCACAAAACCAACCTCAAAAAACTCATATCTACAACCAAATATTTGGTAGAAAAATTCAAAAACAACAAGAAAACGAAGTGACTGGTGCAACCAATAATTTCCAATTCAATAATGACCTCTCAGCATTAGAAAAGAATCACAAATCACTTCAAGTAGAATGTACTGAAAACTCAATCAAACTGGAATCACATTCTAAACAAATACAAAACATCACCAATACACTAACAGACCACACAAAATCCATACAGACCATTTTTGAAAAACTCAACGAAATAGCTTCCAAAATGGAAAATATTGAATTACATTTGACAAAACCGTACCATCAATTAATTCATGAATCCAAGGATGATGTAGAAGATGAAGATGATGAATCTTATCACCCAAAACCAAATGAAAATAGTGATGATGAAATGGAATATGACGAAGAAGAAGATATAGTAGAACCTAGAAGAGGTGATAAACCTCTTGGAAATAAGAACAATTAAGTCACCAAAATGTAATTTGAAAATTGGCTGTTTTAACTGCAACGGCTCATAAAGACAGCCACAAAAGAAATATTGACAAATGAAATCAAAGGGATGTGCTACAATCATAACATCCAAATCATGTCAATTACTGAAACACACTTAAAAACATATGAAGATCAAAAGAAGCCTATAACAAAGGGAATGGAAGTATCTTCTTTAATTCACTATTTGGAGCAAGAAAAGCTCAAAAGGGAACAGCTCTCTTCCATATTCTTAACAACAAAAGAAAACGATTCATATCCAACGAAAATCTAATACAAGGAAAACTTCAATGGACAAGGTTTTTCTCTAGAAACAAACCTATTAACATCATTACGGTTTATGCTTCATCTGATGGTGAAGATGATGATGAAATAATCAACATTATTATTCACCTTCTACTAAAATGTGAAAATGAATTCAACATTGTGCTAGGAGATTTCAATATCAACACAAGGAAACCACAAAATTCGAGAGAAAAAGAATGGAAAGAACTTATTGAGTGTTTCCAACTCAAAGAACTAATCATCCCAGAGAATTACACATACGTCAGAAAAGTCATCAACTCAGTTCAAAAATCACGACCTGATCATATCTTCGTTTCTAACAACATCAGAATAATCAGAGAAGTTATTTTGCCACCAATATCCAAAAATGATCATCTACCGTTCTATATTGACATTGAGTTCGAAACAGACTATTGTTGGAGAAACTTCATCTCTAGGAAAGATATGAATCAAATCTCAACAACATTGAACGAATCACACTATGATTCATTTGATGCACTTCAGAAAGACATATCAGAAATGGTTAACAAATTTTCTTTCAAAGACGATAAGACCAATCTCAAATACATTAACACAATCAATAAGAAAGAAATCAAAACCAAAGAAATAGAACTCCTCCATCTTGTAACACAAGGAAAAGGTCAAAATATCGAGGAAATTGAAAAACTAAGAAATAATATCAAAGTACTATACAAGGAAACTGGAGCTGATATCAAAGCAAAACTAAGTGAAAATTTCAACAAACATGACAGCTCAATGATTTACCAGTTTGACAAACATCTAAAAGAAAAATCAATAGATTGGAAAAATATCCAATTCTCTGAAGAAGAAATTGTGCATCATTTTGAAACAAAATTTACCTCAGTATCCAAATCATCAGACTTTGAAAATCCACCATCAACCGTCAAGAAAGGACCGAAAATACCACAAATAAGCCTTAAAACAATTAAAGAGGCGATATCGAGAATGAAATCCAACACACCCGGTCTAGACTCAATATCCTTCCAAATTATACGTAATCTCAAAGACGAACATCTACAACTTATTGCTGACCAATTTGAAAACTGCATTCAACAAGGTAATATCCCTGAAGAATGGAAATCTGGTTGGGTTAAATTACTCCCTAAAAGAGACATTCAAAAACTAAATGATATTAGACCCATAACCATTCTCCCAATATATTACAGAATACTTTTCAACATAATTGCATACGAATTAAGACAATGGGCTTCCAAACACATCAACTTAAGGCAACAAGCATTTATTTCACACAGAAACACAATGAATCACGGATTATTACTTTCATCTCTAGCCAAAAAGAACAAGTCGTCACTCCTTTTGGTAAACTTAGACATCGAAGGCGCCTATGATTCCGTTGAAGATCATATCATTGAAAAAGCTCTCACTCATTGTAAGTTTCCAGATGAGTTGAAAACTTTTATACTAAACTCATACAAGAGTCAAATATTACAGCTAGAAATTGATCACCATCTCTCTAGACCATTCACAAAAACAAGAGGAATACCACAAGGATGCCCTTTAGCTCCTCTTATATATGATTGTATTACTCAACTCATCATTGACAAATGCATACAACAATGGAAAATTTCAATCAAACCAACCAAGCTTAATATTAACGATATTGGTTTGCTCTGCTTTGCTGATGACATTAATTTAGTTTCAAACAGATACTGCAATTATAACGAAAGACTTGATAATATCTCTAAATGGCTCGGCCAATTAAGTCTAAAAATTAATCCTTCAAAATCCATGGCAACCACTCTCCCAACTAAAAGCAAAATGAAGCCAATGATAGACGGTACTATTATACCAAGATTCAAAAACCTTCGAGTACTTGGACACTATCCTTGGGATGACTCTACTTTAAATGAAGATATTGAAAAAAGAATCCTCCAATTTCAACTCTCACTCAAATATATTCCACTGAAAAGAATGGAGATAACAAACATTAAGAAAGTAATTTTGCCAAATGCACTAGCTTATTTACACACATTTTACGAACAAATTACATTCCTGAATCACTTGTTGATAGAATTAACATTGAAGTAAGAAAAGCAATAAGAAAGAAAATTTTCATGCATAATGCTAGTCCAACAAACTATTTTCACCTCCCAATCACCTATGGCGGACTTGGTATTCCAAGATTCGATATCTTTGCAGATGAAATTCGAATCAAAACAGCCCTGTATCTTATTAACAATGATAATGAACTTCTTAGAGAAGTATATTCAGAAGGAATCAAACACGAAAATTCGATTTTTAAGGAAATGAACAGATCAATGAAGAAATACAAGATCAGACCTCAACAATTTAACAATGACGAAATCTTTCCAAAACTCAAAGGAAAGAATTTTACTATTTACACTGACGGATCAAATCTCAACAACTCAACAGGTTTCGGCTTTACCGCCAAAGTTAACAATTCCCAAGAAACCCAAGATTTCTCATACAAAATTAACAGCGAATACTCACATAACGTTGCTGAATTATCAGCAATACTCACATCACTAAAGATACTTCCACCTAAATCTAAGGCAAAAATTCACACAGATAGTGAAATATCCATCCACGTTTTGAAAAACAAAGCCTATAACGGAATTTTTAACTGCTTCAAGCATGAATATCAACAGGTCATTCAACAATCCAATCTAAATATTCAACTAATCAAAGTTAAAGGTCATGTCAACAAAGGAAACATCAAAGCTGACGAATTAGCTAAGAAAGGAGCTCAAGAGCACAACTATTTTGACATTAAGAAGCTATTTTCGAACCAAACCATCCTTGCCACATCTAATACCAT